AATTAATTGATTATTTAAATTGTAAAAATCGATTATTATGAATTAATGGATTATTTAAAATTATATAAATCAATTTTTATAAATTAAATGATTATTTTAAATTATTTTCCTCAATTCCAGATCCTGCTACGAAAATATATTCCTGAAAATATGCTCTAAAATCCTATTTTTGATAACAATTAATTATGAACAATACAAATATGATTTTGTATAATAAAAATGATGTTTTAGGCATATAAAACATTATGTGATGCATGACGGTAAGTTAGAGTGTTAACACTCAAAACTAGACCGCTATTTGTTATCAATTGTTATGTTGATTAATGATTATGATGAATGATTATTATGAATAATGAACTAACTGATCAAAATGATTATTGATGATTCAGCCGTGAGAGTAATGAATATATTGATAATTATTAAACGATTTGTATTGTTAAACGGTATCTAGAAGAACTCTAAGATATACCTATTAGTTAATTGATGTTAAGGCTATCTAGAAGACCTCTAGATTAGATCTTGTATTAGAACAGGCTTATGAAAACATGAACATTTGATGAATTAGATAAAAACGCATAAATGGGATTCATAGACCAAACTAGAGGATCACTCGTTTGTGAATGCCCGATCTAATGTTCATCAATCGCTATATTGCTGTTGCCTTAACTGACTACAGTTAAGTGTCCGGATCATTTGCCTTAAACCAGTGATAGTTTAAGTGTCTGATTGCCTTAACTGACTGCAGTTAAGTGTCCGAAATCGATTGCCTTAAACTAATGATAGTTTAAGTGTCTGATTAATGATTGCCTTTTAAGAATCTGGTTATAGAAATTATGATCTAGCCTTAGACTAAGAATAGCTAAGAGCATTATTATGATCTGACCTTAGACTAAGAATAGCTAAGAGCATTGTTATAATCTGGCCTTAGATTAAGAATAATTTAAGAGCACTATTGAAATAGTATCTGAATTGAATAAAATGTATTGATATGAATTGAACAATACCAAAACTTTGAATGTCTGAAATGAACATTGTGTGCATGATATCAAATGATTTGATTATGAATTTAGATTCAGTTTATATGGATGTTCGACGCATTAGATATGCTTACTCAGCTTTACCGCTGAGCGTGTAGTGTGTTTTATTTGCTACACGCAGGTAAACAGAAAGTAGAATGTGATCCTGGCGGCAGATGGGGCGAGATTGTCGGGATGGATGTGACAAGTTTTGAAACAATTTATGATATGTCAATATTAAAATCGCTTCCGCAATATTGTTAAATACTCCGTATTGTATATGTATTGAAAAATATTATTGGGATTAATAAAGTGTGTTTGAAAAGTTTTAAATTTTTACGATTACCAAGTTAAATACTTTAGTCCGAATGTGGCTGCAGACCTGGACGGATTAGGGTGTTACATAAACTTTGTCTGTATTTATTTTGTTTTTATCTATAATTAATTATTGATTCAGACAAATTGGCTAAGAACAGCAGGCCGGCCCGTTAACATTCATTCTCGGCCTAAACAACAAATATGGGCTTGTTTAGTTTAACATTAGTCACATGAATATGTTAGGGCATCCATATACTATTAATATTAACAAATTAAAAGGACTACTAAAAAATAATTCAATACACAATTTTTTTGAATGCTATGGACTCTATTACCAAGTAGTCTCTGTTCATACTATTCTCAAGCTAATGACACACAAATAGCCAATGCTGTTGCCTTCGCTGAGGCTCGAACCTGGATAAATTTCCCCATAAATTCTGGGAAGTGGACTTGCTACCACTCAAGCCTGAGAAGAAATTCATTCAATACACATATAATACTAAAAAATTAGAAAAGTAGTCACATGACAAATAAGAATTAGCCACAGGACCGTCTTGAAAAATTATGGGCCTTGAAAGACAAAGAGAACATAAACTATGGTGTCATAATGAAAGAAAGTTTATCAATTAATTTATTTAACAATAATTAATGCTATAGTAATAAAAATAATAAAATGTAGAATTCATAGTCTTTTAAATTCAAAATTACATACGGAGTACTTTAATAACATTATAGTACTCCATCCGTTCCACAAAATTTTTCCCCTTTCGTTTTTTTGTTTTTCACAAAACACTTCCACTTTCTATTAAAAAACCACTTTTACGCATACTTTTTCATACCATACCTATAACATCATTTTTTTACTAATAACCAAACTATCACATCTTACTTTTTTCCCATTACATCAGGGGCAAAATTGAAAGTCAACCAAAATTACACTTTCCTTATTTTTGTCCAAAGTCAAAATGGAAATGGTTTTGTGGAACAGAGGGGGTAATAAAATAAAAAAATGTGAAATTCATAACTTCAAATCATCAAATCCACATACAAAAATAGTAATCTTAAATCAAAAGAAATTATAAATACAATCTAATTTTTAATCTTCCGACCGTAGTGTTCTTTTTTAATTTTAATGGTTGATACAAATAAATAAATAAATAAGATCAAATTCCATAAAAGGTCCCCATGTATAAGTCGTTTTACATATTTAGTCCATACATATCAAATAATACTAATTTAGTCCCCAATTATTATATTCATTTCCACGAATGGTCCTTTGTTAACATTTCCGTTAAGAACGTGGATAAAATTCTAAATTCACACTCCTTTCTCTCCTCAATTAAGCTTCCTCTCTCCCTTCGCCCTCCTTTGCCAAACCCGTCGCTGAGTTTGAAGCTCTAAACCCAAAACCAAAATTATTACTCTTCTCTAAGTTGTTTGTCTAACTGGTGGAAGCTAAAATTAAAACCAATAAGCTTTATGGATAAGTTTTATTCATTAGTCTCAAGAAATTTTAAAAAAAGATATTAAAACTCATTCATGAATGTTACTGGTTTCAAAGTTGGGTTCCACAAGTTAGACAGACAACTGAGACAAGAGTGATGATTTCGGTTTTGGGTTTAAAGTTTTAAACTCAACGACGGGTTTGGGAAGGGAGTGCAAAGGGAGAGAGGAAGCTTAATTGAGGAGAGAACGGAGTGTGAATTTACAATCTTATCCACGTTCTCAATGGAAATGTTAACAAAGGACCATTCATGAAAATAAATATAATAATTGGGGACTAGATTAGTATTATTTGATATGTAAGGACTAAATATGTAAAATGACTTATAACTGGGATCTTTTATGGAATTTACTCAATAAAAAAATACATATACAAATGCTACATCCGTCCTAGAGTATTTGTCTCGTTATGATTTTTTCAATCAAACATTTTTAACCTTTGACCAAATTTAAATAAAACATATGTTGTATATTAATTAAATAAAATAATGTTTTAAAACAATCTTATATAATAAATCTAATAAAATTATTTTGTATTTATATCTAAAATTATTTTTATTTAATTTGGATCAAAATTTACCAAATTTTTATTGAAAAAAATCAAAAACAGACAAATTCTCTGGAACGGATGAAGTATATAAATGGGACCCCTCCAAAATTGCGCCGGAGAAGTACTTCTCCTACTCCATCTAATGGTTCTCGAGTAGATGAAGAATTGTCCCGCGCCCTATTACTTCATCTGATGCGGATGGCGTTAGGGAATATATTAGGGTATCCTTTCAATGTTTTGAAAACCGGACCGGACATCGAACCGGACAAGCCACTGGGTTAAGAGTCAACCGGTCGAACTAGGTTGACTCGGGTCAACGACCCGGTCAACGACCCATTACTTGGTATATAATATTCATATTTATGTTTAGATAATAAAAAATTAAATAAAACCATATTTTGTGAACTAGTTTTAAAGATAATAAAATATTATCACATAACTTAAATATGCATATTATTTCAAAATAATACGAAGCACATACTCCCTCTGTCTAACTTTAATCTTTCCATTTGAATCGGACACACATATTAAGGAAAGATGTAAATGTTATTGTCGATGTTAAATAAAATATTTAAAATTGCATTTTTTTCTTCTTTATGTTATTTTCAATGTCATTGTTCATATACTCTTTCACACTTTCCATATTTTATTATAATTAGTATATATTTCTTCATTTTATAGATGATAATATTTGTTTAGATATAAATTATTCATTACTATTTAATACAAAAAATAATTTTTTTTTACTTTGAAATATTTTAAAAGATTATAAAATAATCACACAACACAAACATGATCTTTCTTACAAATAGTTAGAAGTTTTCTTAATTCACTCAACACAAATAAAAAACACTATATATACTATTCTGCATGATTTTGTTAACAAGAGTTGAGTAGCTTTAGTCTTTTCAAACTCTAAAGCTAAATTCTAGTGATGTTGTCAAACGACAATTTGAATTTACTAAATTCTAATTTATTTTAACTTTTTATGGTTTGATCTAACCTAATTACCTAATCTCATTTAATTTAAAGTTTTTTTTATTTGCTGGTGGATATTATTTGATTTCATTATGAAAAATGTTTTTAAATAAGTAATCTTTCTATATACAATGGTAAGAGGATTTTAGGAACAGTGTTCCCGCCCATTTGATAAGCTACAGTAGCAGCCTAGATTTGGACCGCACATCGGATAAAAATATCTGGTGAAGCTTCCTCCATACTCATGTGAATTGTGATAAAGAGAAAGAGTATGCGAGAAGCTAAGCCACTGGGCGCTGGATATTTCCGTCAGATCCGGCCACCTGGAGAAAGAGGGATTCTGCGTACACATCTCAAGAGAGAGAGGGGGAGCGTATGGAGAAAGTTTTCCATCAGATCCACATGTTCTTTCTTCTCTTTTCGCAGCCGCTTCACCGTCTACGATCGCCATCAAATTCCAATCAGCACATTGCCGTAGCGAGAGAGAGAGCAGACCACCGTAGGTAAGTAGCCTAGCCGCTGATTGAATGTTTTTTTCTTTCTAATTTTGAAGTTGTGAGAGTAATGGTTTTAACATTATCCCCTAATTCCATATTAGCAATTCTGTTTTCTTTCATCTTATCACTGCAATTTTGCTCTTCAATTGGTATTGCGGGAGGATTTTCAAGGCCAAGAAGATTGAGATATCACACTGCGGATAGCCTCTACCATTGCGGCTTTTTGGGAATGTAGAGCTATTAAGTTTGAATTTTTTTTCCCTTTAAAATTGTACTCTGTAAATGTCGCAAGATTTGGACCTCACATTCCGATCAAAAAATTTTGCAAAGCTTCCTGCATACTATGGATGACACATTCTGAGTGTATATTAGACTCCGTATTTTAGATGTACAGAGAGGGTGTGTGGAGAACATCTCTGGTGTCTACATCCAATATGTCAGTTTCTTTTGAAGAAACAAAATTTTGACCTTATTTATAAAAAAGTACATATCTCGATGCATTTTGTTACAGGAATTCCGCCGAATCAGCAGAAATTCATCTTCACCGGGAAGCAGCATGAAGACGGCCGGACCCTTGCCGACTACAACATCCAAAAAAGGTAAACGTTTAATCTAGGGTTTTGTTCTTGATGCCTTTTTGGATTCAATCGCCTTGAAATTTGAACATACACAAAGTCTAGGGCTCTTGCGCTAGCCATTTCTTTCATTCAAGATGTGGCTTAACCTAAGCTGTTGAGTTTTAATTTTGTCCAATGATGGTGCAGCTACTGGCAGAGGTGAAGTCAACAGGGCTAGGCTAAGGTTACAATCATATCTTCCCCCATAGAGGATGGACGGGGCAACACAAAGTAGATGTTGCATTCAGAGAATAGGTAAAACCTTCTTTTTATTTGATTAGTTTGTTTATTTATAAGATCTTTAGAACTTCGCGATGGACAACAATTGTTTTTTTAGATTGCATTCTTAAATGAGTAGATATAGTTTACTTTTTTACGGAATTTCTTAAAATACTTACTAATATTTGAGAATTTATTTTCAAGTTGAAATTGTAGTTTCAGAGTAGAGATGGGGGCCGCCTAAAATTTGGGTATCCAATTGTAAACAGAGAATGCTCATAATATTTTTTGTACTTGGGGTTTCCAAATTTTAAAACTCTAGATTTAGCGATGGTGGAAGACAACCATGACGATGGGAAACGTGAGACGAAAACAAAGAGGCTATGTGGTTGTTACGGAGCTCCTTTTCTTCATTGTCTTATGCTACATTTCGTGATATGCCAAAAAAAGGATTGCATTGCAGAGAAAAACCAGATATGAATCTCTAACCTGTCTTATTCGTCAGGGTTTGATGATTTCATCAGTACTTTTCATAATTTAATGTTATGGAATTTCCTTATTTGCCTATATGTATTCCATATTCTATCAACTTGGTTTTATAATGTTCTCTTACAATTTTATTTGTAGCATTTTTAGCCAAATATTTGGGCCTATTCGTGAGTGGGTAACACCTATTCTTGCAAGGATGCTTCCCTCTATTCGGTGTGCTCCTGACGATTTTACTATTGTCAACATCCAAGAAGGTAAAACTTTAGACATGGATGAGCTTATTTATGAATTTGCCGAGCTTATTTATGAATTTGCCGATGAAAGCTCAATTTTTCTTATTTAATGCGTTAGTTTCAAATGTCCATAGGTGTAAGTTTGCTATCACTATGCATATATATGTGGCCGGAGTATTTCACAAAAAGTTTCCTGCAAGAGGTACTTTGGGTTCGGTATTGTGAGTCAAGGACGTATTGAATAAGCTTGAAGGTAGAGAGTGTTCTCATTTTATTGACATGGGATTTCTTTATATTGAGTAGTAAGTAACATTATGGATTGGAGATTATTTTCACAATTAGTCACAAAACATTGATCGTTATCATTTGCCTTCATAAATTTGTATTTACATTTTCAAGAACATTATTCTGCCTCATTAAACAGGCATTTGCTTTTGAATCCCAAGTGTTCCCTTTCTTTCTCTCTTTATCCCCACCTAATATGAAACCATACAAGTATATAGTTTATTAAAAATAAATGCACCATGCAGTCACCTAGAATTTTCATTTTATTTTTATTTTGCAGTCACCTAAATTCAATTTTTTGGTACTTTGTTTTTCAGGTAAAGCTGCCAAATTCCAAAAATTCAAAGGATTTGGGGAATTTGTTAGACTATGAATAGAACTTCCTAAGAATGTTAGTTTAATTGTTGTTGGACTTTAATCATTGGTTATTATAAATTGGATTATTCGATTTACTTTTTATTACTCTATTAATATAGGTTAAGCTTTGATTTTGTAATTTAGATTATATAACTCTTGCATCAGATAGTAACTATTGGATCACCTCTTTTATGAAAATCTTTTTTTAAAAATATTTTTTATATCTTATTGCATCACTTTTTAATTATGAATATTTAATAGGTTGAGTTCTACTTTAAGTATGATACGAATATATTATTTACATTTGCTTGATATTTAAAACATTCATATGGTTTATACAGTGGAACATTCTCTTTTGGGAAAATCAATGTGTTTTTTGCACCTAGGTCCTGATATGTTTAAAACATTCATGTTACATAATAAAACATTCAACACTTTTTGCTCAAAAAATAGTTACATTGTGTTTGTTTATTGTTAGTTTCACAACTATTCTTATGTCTTGGAATAAAATTTCAAAGTTTACTTTTCATACATCTTTATCTCAACAATGGTGAGGAGAAAATGAGTAGTGTTCCCGCCTAAACTTTGGGTATTCAATTGGAAACAATAATACTTTCCATAATTATTTTATTTATGATTAGACCGTGCAACGCACGGGTACGAGTCTAGTGAGAATAAGCTAAAAAAGTAGTCTCTAAAATATCACATCCATCTATATAAGTAAATTATTCATTTCTTTTTCTCCGTCTTAGAACAAATTATATACTCTCTCCGTTCCATTAAAGCATGCGCAGCGGCGAGGCATTTCCTCGCTCGCAGTGCCACACAGCATCCTTGGCAATTTGCCTCGCGTGGCTTCAGCCTCCCTCCACGCCAAGCGTGTGAGGCGCGAGGCATCTTCATTTTTTTTATTTTTTAAAATAAATAATTTTTTTTAAAAAAAAGAGTACATCTATATAAAAAAAGATAAATGAAATAATTTTTAATAATTAAAATGCATTAAAAATCATAAAAATTTACAAAAACAATGACTTGCCATTGCACGAGATGCATCTCCACTCATTTGCCACACGCTGACTGAATTGTCTTTTATTGGTTGAAATGTGCCACGTCAACATTTGACATTCCATTTCATTACCTGCCATTGCCCGTGCTCTAAAACCATCATCTTTCGTTTTTTCCAATTCTTAAAACACTTTCACTTTTTATTAAAAAACCACTTTTATCCCTATTTTTTCATATCCTACCAATCACATCATACTTTTTCACTAATAACCAAATTATCACATCTTACTTTTAATCATCACATCAAAAGCAAAATTAGAAAGTCAACCAAAATTATATTTTCTTTATTTTGGCACAAAGTCAAAATAGGAATGGTTTTATGTAACGTACGTTTTTTTACCTTAAAAATTAGCATTATAAATTGTTGAGGAATGCTAGGGGTACACCATTTGGTGTACCCCATTTGTCCCCCATCCCTTTCTCCACCATTCAATTTTTTTTATTTTTTTTATTTAATTTTTTTTATTTTATTGCCTTTTTTTTGAGGGGGTGGGGGACAAATGGGGTACCCCTAGCATTTTTCTAAATTATTTCCTAACTAGACTATTTTTATGTGCACAAAAAATGGAAAACTCTCGGCAAATTTTATGTGCACGTTTTTTTACTTCTCGAACACTTTTTCTAAAAATAAATTACTCCCAATTTACCCCCCAAGGAATATACTCCGTAATAGACCCGATCACGGGCCCAGATATCCGGCCCGCTCGCAAAATATCGGACTTGGGCTTGACATTTTAGGGTACGGGCCGGGCTTAGGTCTTATAAATGTCGGCCTGAATATTTTAGGGCCGGGCTCGGGTTTATGCTCAAGTCCACGGGCTGGGCCGGCCCGAATAAATTAAATATTTATTATTAGTATAATTATAATAAAATAATAAATAACAGCATTAATAATAATAATAATAATAATAATAATAATAAAGAACAAACCTATTTTAAATTATTATAAACACACATACGTAGTTCTATGGAGAGAAAAAATAAACTATAGGTATATATAATAAAATGAATACATCTTTACTACTCCGTATTGTTTGCAACGTATCACACATTGATTATGACATTCTAATAGATAATTTTTTGTACTTCATACACAGTAGCAATATCAAACAAAATATATTTATACATCAATTTTTCTTTCATTTACTCATAAAAGTTTTTGTAACAAATATCTAATATATTAACTTGTTACTTTTTTTTAAAAAAATATTTTTAAATTATTTAGAAGTTTTTGTCGGCCGGGCCTGAAGCCCGCTGGTAACCATGCGGGCTGGGTTTGGGCTTCAATTGTTAGGCCCGTTATACGGGCCGGGCCGGGCTCAGACCTAGAAATGTTTTGTAAAGTTCTCGGCCCGGCCCGCACTTTGATCATGTGTACTCCCTAATAAAAAGTCAAACCCAAATATTGCCATCCTAAATTGACGTCGGAGAGGTTAAGTTTGGGGAGAAGCAGAGAACGGAAATGTTCGGCCGGAGAAGATTTCTGTCCTTTCCACTCGTCATTGGCGCCGTCATGTGAGCTTCCTCTTTCTCCTTCTCCTTTTTCTCTCCGCAGAAGCTTTTTTTGGGTTACTCCACTCGTCTTTTCCAAGTCTCATTTTTTCAGTTCTTTACGAATTTAAGATTACTGTTTATTGTTTGTAGTACTTCGCAATTTTTATTTATTATGCGTGAATCTACTCCATGAAAAGGAAAACAGAAAACTTTTTAGAAAAAAGTAATGGTAGGAGTTGCTATGGCGTTCCCAAACGTTAATCCTGCCAAGTGTTCGAAGAAATGTCTCAGAGACATAATTTATATTCCCTGATCCTGGAACCAGAATTCCCTTTTTCCGCTTTATAAGCTGTATTCATGAATTGATCGGGCTGCTCAAGCAGTTAAGTCAACTGAGGCGGGGAAAGAGCAAATGTACGAAATGAGTGTAACGAAATAGGTACAAAGTAGCTATAGAACAGTGATTCGTTTCACTATGTGAATAGTGAAACGAATTCTCTAGCGACTTCGTACGTTGTTCGAGTCACTTTGGAATTCCCGGAAATCCTTCTTGACAACGCATCCAGCAGGAATCGAACCTACGAATTTGGGCACTTTAACCATTCAGCCATGGATGCAAAGAGACTAAGCGAGTGAACTAGGCTTATATAAGGAGTATGTAGTTAACAAATTATTGTGAAGTATAAAAAATATGGAGTACGATCTAAATGTCATTTTAGCATTGTATCCATCTGGTTTCTATGACTCTTTTTTGTTTTTTTCCATTCATTCCATGAATTTAGCTTATTTTGGAAACCGGGCGACCGAAAGAATGGGGTTGTAATTGTCTTGCTTAATTTTCCCTCATATGCATGCTCTAGGGTATCGTCGAGCCTAAGAAAAGTGTAGCCATAGGAGAGGAAGCCTGGATTGGATGGTGGGAGGGGAAACTATTGGAACATAAAAAAGTTGAAAATTATCGAAGCATTTTAGAATCAATAAGCTTTGGTTGAAAAATGTTAAAAGTTTTAAGATTTAAGCAATTCAACAAGCTGACGAGTCGCATATATACATGCTGTTCTGCACTAAGCATCCAACGGCTGGCTAAGAACATTCAATGAGGACGACGGGTGGGGGTCAAAAGAATCCCATAGGCACCAGCTGAGATCTAATACTATGTGCTTTTTCTAGGAGATAATTGTTTTATTTTATTTTTATGAAAAAATGGGAGTTGGTTCTGCCCGAGACTAAACAAATGCCTTGTTTGGTATGCGTAGTCTAAAACAATTTCCCGAATTGATAAAGTAGTGTTGGTCCAAAGCCTAAAACGGTATGCCGTATGCCTTGCATTATAACCCATCATTCATAACTGAACAGTAAGATTGAGAAGCTTTAGGAAAGTAGCCGAAATGACTCAACAGGGAGTTGCCCAGCCTGTGTTGTTGAGTATGAAATATATATGGTGGAGAGAGGTTGCAGGTTTGGTGTCATGTTAGGGACACAATTTCTTGCTGCATTAGCTACTTCACATGGTTATGCTTCTTTTGGAAATATTTGCACTACCTATTTTGTCTTTCGCTTAACAATATGTTTCCTCTTGTTTTCTTCCTTCTATCATTATTTTTGAGTTTTCTAGGATGTCTTTCCTGCTTGAATTGTCAATTTATTTTCTTCACAACAAACCCCAAAGTTGTCATATGACATTGTTTATTGACCATTAACTGACTTATACAACAACAAAAACAACAACCTAGTTTAATCCAGAATCTGTTGGTGTCTGGGGTCAAAATGTATGCAATCTTACTCTTGTAGAAACAAAGAGGTTGTTTTTGTTAGACACTAAATGTAGTGCTGCATTTACTGCACAAAACATCATAGAAAGTAACAAGCAAGAGAACTAGAGAAGTTTAATGCCTCAGTATGCATTCATGGTATGAATTGGGACCTTTTTATGCTTTGTAGTCGAATTGCTAAAACTGCAAAGCAGCATCATCATCGTTGTCGTCACTACTACTACTACTGCTATTAATACCTGGTACTGTGGATTTAGGGTCGGAGTTGTGTCTGGGAAAGCTATATTTGGGCCACCGCTCGAAGAGTACTGGAAGAGGAAACATCAGGAGGAACAAACTAGGAAAGAAAATGATACAAGAACCAATTAGAAGTTCAGAGGATTCATCCCATGAGATTGATTTCCAGTTCAGTTGTAAGCATTCTGAGCCACTTGATTTCAATGATAAGAGTGCAATGCTATTTACCAGTTGAGATCTCCCATTTCAAGTATACACAAAAGTCTACACTTCCATGAGGACAGTTTTGTTGATGGAAGATTGAGGGAATAATTAACCTTTGAAGTTTATTTTTCTGTGTTTTCTTCTTTTTCTGCTCCCAAAGCCTTTTTTTAATAAATAAAATTTCCCTCAAAATAAATAAATAAATATCCATTTTTTCCCAGTGTCCATTGATACACTTTCACAATCCATTTAGTGAAAGAAATGGGTGATCTATTCTACTCCCTTGGTCCCATTTTAAGTTGTCTGCTGTTAGTTACGATATCTGATTGAAGTTATTTTCAAATGAATTTATATGAAAATTACGGTAGAATTAAAAAATAAATTTTATACATTTAGAAACTAAATAAAAAATTATCAACT